AATACAAATAGTTAGAGGTCACACTAACATTAGCTTGAGGTGTGAAGAATTTTAATTGGGTACAGATTGGTGTATACATTAGAAATAAGAAATCAAAAGGTCAAATTTGCTGAAACATATCAGATAACATTATGATAAAGCTCTTTGGAGTTTTATTTGAGATAGATTTATAGACCCATTGTAGCATTGCTTAAAAATATTAAGTTTAGAAAGAAATTGGATAAATTTTTACAATTTAAACCTTATTTGTTTTATTAAAAAGCATTTTGGAAAGACATTTATACTTGGCTTTGGATAGGTTAAAGCTCAGTGATAGCATTTATACCAACTCTTGTAGCATTTTAGAAAGCATGGTCTTGTGACATCTTGGGAAAGTTTTCTATTAGTCACAGCATGCAAACAAGTACCTTGGGCTCCATTCTCTGGTCATGTTTTCAGACTCAGTAACTCCAAATAAAATAAACTTCCAAGTTCATAAATCAACATTTGATAATGTTTTTGCAACTCATACCATTGAGCTGGTAGTTGTCACTTGAGCATCCAAATTCATTAGAGACTATTGAAATGATAATGCAGAATTATACAGGTTTTGCAGATGTAGTTTAATATTTATCTATACATATTGAAACCTCACTTGAGAATAGAAAAATCAAGAAAGTTCTTGTCTTACATTTCCACTCAAGAAATAAAGAGGAAGAGATATTAAGATAGCTTTATAATACTTAAAAAAAAAAAAAACTGGGCCGGGCACCGTGGCTCACACCTGTAATCCCAGCACTTTGGGAGGCCGAGGTGGGTGGATCACGAGGTCAAGACATTGAGACCATCCTGGTCCACATGGTGAAACCCCGTCTCTACTAAAAATACAAAAAATTAGCTGGGCATGGTGGCGTGTGCCTGTAATCCCAGCTACTCAGGAGGCTGAGACAGAAGAATTGCCTGAACCCAGGAGGTGGAGGTTGTGGTGAGCCAAGATTGCGCCATTGCACTCCAGCCTGGGTAACAAGAGCGAAACTCCATCTCGAAAAAAAAAAGAAAAAACTTCACTTTGTTTCTGACTGACAGTAACCCAATTCAGGCTTTTTACTCTTCATAAATGGAAGACAAGTAATCTAGATAATACTGGCTATCTATAATTAAGTATACAATATCTGAATCTATTTGCTTTGTGGAAATTATGTGTTTGTGGCTGATTAAAATATTCAGCTATGTAGGCTTCATCTTTTAGCTCAAAAGAAAAATAGAAATGATGTTGGTGGTTGAATTCCTACCAATGTGGCAAAGACATTCCCCAGACATACATAATTCACCTGCTGAATTGGAGATGATTCACCTCTCAATGACTTCACAGGTGTTAACTTGGCCAAACAAAAAAGGGAAATCATCTTTTCTTCCCTGAGGCAAGTTTTCAGTAAGATTGCTCAGGAAAAATATCACACTATAGATATGTAAGTCATAGTATGTCTGTTTTGAATAATGAATTAGCATCACTGTCTGAGAGGTGAAAACTATTCAATGTATATTTTGTGGAAAATAACTAAATTGAGTTTCTCTTAACTAAATCAGAAAGGAAAGGAATCCTCAATCAGGATTTCATGTAGTACTGTATCACTCAAGGAAACCTGATTTTATAGCGGTACTCAAATAAAATGGGTCCAGAGAAAAATTATAACAGAAACTTACCCATCAGTGATCTAAACAAAACAGACATGTGGCTGTGAAATTCAGGCAGTTGCTTGGTGAGGAGGTCACTGTCAGATAGTCATGACTCATGTGTAGGAACCTGAGAATGGCCATGGGGAGGAATGGCCACAGTTACGGTCTCGCAGGAGTCCACTGACCGCTTGTGCCATTGCTCCAGCTTCTGACTGCACTGAGCGGCTGGTGCCAGGTCAGCCGTACTCTCTGCTCTCAATCAGTGTCAGCACTGGTCTCGCTAATTTAGTCCTTTTCTTTAAAAAATGCTTTGTGAAAGTGCTGGTTAGCACTGTTCTTACTTCTCTAGTTAATATTCACCACATGTTCCCCTTCTTTTGTGGAGAGACAAAAAAATTTAAGGAAAATCACTCTCCATAAGTCCACAGTCTGAAGACATGGAGGCTGAGGAGGCAGACCTGAATGAATAAGTGGATCGTATGATAGGGCTAGATCTTAAATTTGGATACAGGAGACTTAGATAAACCACAGAAGATTGTTCTTTATACATGCAGCTCTTTCGCTAAGTGATAAAGGTGGTATGTTAAGATTAATAAGTCTGAACATAATGTACAGAATGTATTAGAGCAGGGAAAAATTGGTGTTTACTGAGAGCTGAAGGTTTTATCAAAAATCTAAAAAGTAAGTAATATTTTTGCATCATCTTAAAGTTTGCAAAGAGTTTTGGCACACACATCATCCCATCTTTGCAATTACCTGTGGGGTAGATATAAAAGATAATATTTCATTTTACAGATGAGGAAATAGGAGCCTGTTTCCTGGTCAGACAGGCTCAGTCAGCTGTGAGTGGCAGAGCTGGTATTCTCACCTGTCACACTCGACTCCAGTTCCATTGCTCCTAACATGACTATATCCTGGATAAACATGGTATCAAGAATGGAGAGGCCGGGTGCAGTGGCTCACGCCTGTAATCCCAGCACTTTGGGAGGCCGAGGTGGGCACATCACTTGAGGTCAGGAGGTCGAGACCAACCTGGCCAGCGTGCTGAAACCCCATCTCTATGAAAAATACAAATATTAGCTAGGTGTGGTGGTGCATGTCTGTAATCCCAGCTAGTAAGGAGATTGAGGCATAAGAATTGCTTGAACCTAGGAGGCGGAGGTTGCAGTGAGCCAAGACTGCCCCACTGCACTCCATCCTGCACAACAAAGCAAGACTCTGTCTCAAAAAAAAAAAAAAAAAAAGAATGGAGAGTGAACTTTGGAAGGCTAAGGCAGGCAGATCACTTGAGGTCAGAAGTTTAAGACCAGCCGGCAAAACCCTCTCTCTACTAAAAATACCAAAATTAAAAATTAGCCAGGCATGGCGGCAGGTACTTGTAATTCCAGCTGCTCGGGAGGCTAAAGCAGGAGAATTGCTTGAACCTAGGGACTGGAGGTTGCAGTGAGCCAAGATCATGCCACTACACTCCAACCTGGGCACAACCTGGGCAACAGAGTGAGACTCTGTCTCCAAAATAAATAAATAAATAAATAAATAAAAAGATGGAGAGTGAGAGAAAACTCAGAGACTTTGAAATAAGAAGTGAAAGAGGCCAGGCATAGTGGCTCACATCTATAATCCCAGCACCTTGGGAGACCAAGGAGGGCAGATTACTTGAGGTCAGGAGTTCAAGACCAGACTGGCCAACATGGTAAAACCCCATCTCTAATAAAAATATAAAAATTAGCTGGGCATGTGGGCAGGCGCTTGTAATCCCAGCTACTCGTGAGGCTAAGGCAGGAGAATCGCTTGAACCCGGGAGGTGGAGGTTGTGGTGAGCCAAGATCGCGCTACTGTACTCTACCCTGGGTAACAGAGCAAGACTCTTGTCTCAAAAAAAAAAAAAAGAAAAGAAAAAAGAAAGAAAAGTGAAGGAAACTTGGCAATTGATTGGATATTTCTGATAAAGAAACAGAAGAAGGAACATGTGATTTCCAGGTTTCTAAAACCTGGAAGAGGAGGACAGTGAGGTTACAATATAAGCAGCTGATGTTGGCAACATGCCTATTATGTGCCAGGCTGTGTGCCAAGCAGTTTGCCATATTGCCTCATTAAATATTCACAGCTCTTTGAAGGTAGATCTTATCATTATTATTCTCATTTTAGAAAGGGTGTGTGTGAAAGTTGTTCTCACTTTTAGAAAAAGAAAAATATCTTCCCTCCAAAACAAGGTTAAGCTTGACTATACTCATTGGCCTATGGTGACAGTACCTAGGGCCTGGGACAGCGGTTTGGTAATCTTGTGTGTATGGATGTATCACAATGCCAGACACAAAGTAACTAAGCTGGGCTCGTGGTGGTAATGATGTTTGCAAATCCAGCACTGCCAAACTGTTTAACACCTCCTAGGTGATTTGCCTGTTGTTAGAATAGACTTCACTAAGTGGATAGTACTGCCTTGGCCCTGGCCTTTAAGGTGGCCTGCCAGCTCATCAAGAGACATAGGTAGGAATGCTTTCCTCCTTAGTTATGATTTAAAAATAAAAGAATAACAAAGTATAATGATCAAATTATATTAGTAGAAATATTGCATTTATGTACACTATTTAGATTACAATGCCTTTCTTTCTCATTACTTGTAATTAATTAGTATCAGTTACTGTCCAGTGTGAGCCTAGTGTTCCCCTTAGGTTAATCAGATCACATCCTGAACCTCTGTTGGAGCCCAGGGTATTTGTCTGAAGCCCTGATTGTTGACATCTCCCTCTAACTTTTAAACTTGTCTCTAATCTCATCTAAAACTATTAATACTTGAGAAAAGGCCCTTCTCGAATTTCCTGTTTCTAATCCCTTCCTCCTCTTTCCTGCTTGGTCAAGTAGAGAGAGGAAATGGTTTACGTATCAAATAAAGTAAATAGTATATGGAAAAAAAAAAAACAACCCAAACCTCTTTCCAAATAGTAGTTTACCTTACAGCTCATTTCTAAAGGCTCCAAACTCTCTGTGGGTATCTACCTGCTGGTTATTTATTCACTAAGCTGCACATGGCAGTCCCCTAGCAACCAAACTTCATGAATAAAATCCCAACTCTTCTCCAGTACCACCTGTTTGTAGGTAGTCAGTCTTCTTTTAAAAGACTTGGAGTTATACAAGCAATAAGTACCAGAGTTTAGTTCTTTTTGAAAATGGATGTAAAGAAATCATAAGTTTTCACAGGGCTGTAAAGTGGTTTATTCCCAGGGGTCCTTCACTCCAAGGCTGCACTGGAAATTATACTGGTGAGGAAGCTTTGATCTTGCAGGTCTTAGGCCCCAAGGCAAAAGGTCATGGCTGTAAGTGTCTTTCTTCCTGTTCTTCTCTAGGATTGTGAAGATGTCCAGTCCCAATCTGAACATTGTGACCTTACTGGGCAGTTGTCTGACTTACAGTAGTGCTTACCTCTTTGGGATTCAAGATGTGTTAGTGGGGAGCTCAATGGAAACTCTCATTCAGGTAGGTTAAGTTTTAAAATTTGTTTTTGACTATGTTAAAGTTTTAATGATTTTCTTAGACCAGCTGCTTCCGTGGGTGGTGGTTACCTTTATCCTTGGTGTGGGTACTTTTAGAGCAATCCCAGAACACTTGGTGAGGTTCACTCTGTACCCCATGCCCTCTGTGGGACCCAGACCCTATACATCAGAGCATGTTGAGCACTGACAAAGGTTACTCTTGTGACTCTTCTGTCCCCTTCCACCTATAGACAAGACTGTCCATGCTGTGTGTTGGGACCTCCCTTGTGTTTGGCCCCATTCTGGGAAAGAGCTGGCGACTCTACAAGGTGTTTACCCAAAGAGTCCCGGACAAGAGAGTGGTGAGTAGGCAGCAAGTACGCAATGCTTGACTGTAGATGGCAGCTTCACTCTTGCTTAACAGCTAGAGAAGCTCATGCGGATTATTGAGCCTAGCCCCTTTCAGGACATCCAAAGTTCTTGTTTCTCATTCCAAATCCTGTAATCATGTGACCTCATAAGGCCCCAGGCCTGAAAGGCTGTGGATCAATGCTGCTGAAGACAGGTCTTCAAACATGGGCTCTGGTTTTTATGTACCCCAGGCCCTGTGGGGACATGTAAGCTGGCCAATACCTGGCATCAGTTTGAGGCAGAACAAGATGCCAAGAGACTGTTGTTTGGCACAGGTGTGAGCTGGAAGTGAAGGGAGGAAGAATGATTACAGAGAAACTAACAAGTAAGTAGTTATTTCCCTCCTTGAAGCCCAGTTCTTTTTTTATGTAGAAGGCAGTTCTCTGTATGGAGAAGTATGTGCCTGGGCAGTGAGCAAGGAAGAGCAGATAGAATCAACCCTAAGTTATGAGGCAGCCAGATCACTGACTAATATTTATAAGTCATCAACTTAAGCACATTTCCCCATTTTATCAGGTTGTCTGATGAGACTGTGCAAACATCAATTCCTGACCATTATCCTCATTGGATGTAGGCCCTGCCCAGACCCAATATGTCATGTCATTCAGTTGGTGTTTACTTCTCTGGAACGATAGGGTTTTTTTGTTTGTTTTGTTTTGTTTTTTGTTTTTTGTTTTTTTAGCAAATGTTATTGATTCATGGTGCATACTTACCAAAAGCTCAGCTGTGAGCAACCGCACATATGAAGAAGATTGCCTAAAAAGACAAAAACTGCATTTATCACTCAAGAACACTGATTTCTTTTTTAAAACTAGCTTCATTGAAGTATAATTAACATGCAGTGAACTGCACGTATCTAAAGCATATGTTTGATAAATTGTGGCATGGATATACAACCAAGACACATGGTGCATAATGAATATATGCCTCATCTTCAAAAGCTTCCTCACACCCTTTGTTATCTCCCTCTCCTGTCCAATCCTTATATCCCCTGTTCCTGTCCTCAGGAAATCATTAATTTGCTTTCTGTCACTGTAGATGAGTTTGCATTTTCCAGAGTTTTATATAAATGGAACCATACAGTGTGGACTCTTTTTTCTCTGGCTTATTTTACTAACATAATTGTCTTTATGAATATTATAGTTATTTATGTTGTATGCATTAATAGTTCTTTCTTTGTTATTGCTGAGTAGCATTACAATGCATAGATATACATTTGCTTATCTGTTGATGGATGTTTGGGTTTTTGCTAGTTGTGACGATTAAAAGTAAAGCTGCTATGAACATTCATGTACAAAGTCTTTGTTTAGACATAAGCTTTTATTTCTCTTGGGTGAAAACCTAAGGGTAAGATGGTTGGATCAGATCAGAGGGTAGGTGTATATTTAACTTTTAAAGAAACTGTCCGACTTTTTTTCAAAGTGGTTGTACCATTCTGCATTTCCACCAGCAATGTATGAGAGTCCATTTCCTCCACATTCTTGCCAATATTTGTTTTGATCAGTCTTTTTCATTTTAGGCATTCTAATAGGTATGTGTGGTAGTATCTCATTATGGTTTTGAATTTACCTTTCTCTAATGCACTATTGAGCATTACTTCACATACTTTTTTGTCATCTATATATCCTCTTTGTCAAACTTCCTGTTGAAATCTTTCACCCATTTTTAAATTGGATTTTTTGTTGTCTTATTATAGAGTTTTGAGAGTTCTTTTTATATTCTGGATACAAACCCTTTATCAGATGTAAGATTTGCAAAGATTTTCTTCCAGTTCCTTTTAATTTACTTCAGAGTATCTTTCAAAAATAAGACATTTCTAATTCTGATGAAGTTCAATTTACCAATGTGTTCTTTTTGGGGGGATTTTGTTACTTTATTTGTTTTTTATATTTTTAGTAGAGATGGGGCTTTACCATGTTAGCCAGGCTGGTCTCAAACTCCTGGCTTCAAGTGATTAACCAACCTCAGACTCCCAAAGTGTCAGAATTACAGGTATGAGCCACCATGCCTGGCTCCATGGGTCATGTTTTTGGTATTACATTTAAGAAATTTTTGGCCAACTTAAGGCCCCAAAAGGTTTTCTCATGTGTTTACTTCTAGAAATTTTAGAGTTTTAGCTTTTACGTTTAGGCCTATGATCAATTTAGAGTTAATTTTGGAATATGGTATGATGTATTGGTTGAATTTTATTTTTTATATACAGACATTTGATTGTTCCAGCACCATTTGTTTAAAAGATTGTCTTTTCTTCACTGAATTACCTTTGTACCTTTGTTGAAAATCAGTTGTCCATAGGTGTGCAGATCTATTCCTGGACCCTCCATTCTGTCTCACTGATACGTTTGTTTATCTCAACAGCAATACCATATTGCCTTGATTACTGTAGCTTTATACTAAATCTTGAAATCAGGGAGCATTAGTCCTCCAACTTTCTTCTTCTCTTTCAATGTTGTTTTGGCTAATCTGGGTCCTTTGAATTTCCATGTGAATTTTTGAATCAGTTTACTGATTTCTGCAAAAATTATTTGGGTATTATGTTGAATCTAATCAATCAAATTGTGAAGAATTGGCTTCTTACTAATGTTGTGTCTTTTGACCCATGAACCTATTTATTTTGGTCTTAATTTTTCCCAGCATTTTTTTGTACTTTTCAATATTGTTCTTTCACATCTTTCATCAAACTTATTTCTAACTATTTTATATTCTTATGCTATTTTATATGTTGTTATTTTTTAAATTTTACTTTCCAGTTGTCTGTTGCTGATATACAGAAATATAATTTTTTTTTTTTTTGAGACAGAGCCTTGCTCTGTCACCCAGGACTGAGTGCAGTAGCATAATCTCAGCTCTCAACAAACTCCGCCTCCTGGGTTCAAGCGATTCTCCTGCCTCAGCCTCCCAGGTAGCTGGGATTACAGGCACCTGCTACCACACCCAGCTAATTTTTGTATTTTCAGTAGAGATGGAGTTTCACCATGTTGACCAGGTTGGTCTCGAACTCCTGACCTCAGATGATCCACCCTCCTCAGCCTCCCAAGATGATTGACAGGCATGAGCCACCATGCCCAGCCACAGAAATACAATTAATTTTTATATGCTGAACTTGTATGCTGCAAACTTGCTGAACTATATGTTTGTTCTAGCAGCTTTTTAATAAAGTCTATTAGATTTTCTACATAGATGATCGTATCATCAGCAAATAAAGATAATTTATTTCCAATCTCTTGTGTGATTACACTGGCTAGAAACAATAGTACAATCTCAATAGAAGTGGTCAGAGCAGATATCCTTGTTATTCTTGATCTTATGGGGAAAACAGTCAGTCTTTCAAAACTAAGAATGATATTAGCAGTTGTTTTCTTGTAGATGCCATTTATTCAGTTGGAGAAGTACTATTCTATTCTTACTTTGCTAAGAGTTTTAAACAAGAATTAATGTTGGGTTTTGTCAAATGCTTTTACTGAGTCTATTGAGATGATCATATGGTTTGGTATTTTTTTTTTAGTTTATTCATATGGTGGATTACATTAAATTTTTTTTTGAAAATCCTTATACAATAATAGACTTTATTTTTTAGAGTGGTTTTAGGTTAACATAAAAATTAAGCAGAGGGTACAGAGGTTTTACATATACCCTCTTTCCCCACACATGCATAGCCTCTTCCATTATCAATATTCCCCATCAGAGTGGTATATTTTTTACAACTGATGAACCTACATTAATATGTCATTATTACCCAGAGTCTGTTCCTTATATTAGGGTTCACTTTTGGTGTGGTACATTCTATGGGTCTGGACAAATGTACGATGACATGTATCTACCATTATAGTATCATACAGAGTAGTTTTACTGCCCTAAAAATCCTCTATGCTTCTGCTCTTTCTCTCTTTCTCTCCCCACATGTTAAATAATTTAGGATGTCAAACCAACCTTCCATTCCTGGGATAAACTCCACTTGGTCATGATACATTATCCTCTTCATATATTGTTGGATTTATTTTTACAAAACTTTGTTTAGAATTTGTACATTCATGTTTTTAATCCATACTGCTCTGCAGTTTTCTTGTAATATATTTTTCTAGTTTTGGTATCAGGGCAATGTTGGCTTTATAGAATGAGTTGAGAACTATTCTCTTCTTTTCAATTTCAGGAAGAATTTCTATGTAATTGCAAAATTGGCACTCATGTATAAGTCCTATACAATAGTATGCTTCCTTTGATCCCCATTCCTATCTTTACTGTAACATGTTATAAGCCCCATACAATTTTTTTGTTTAATCAATTATCTTTAAAAATATTTTATTTCTGGCCAGGCACGGTGGCTCATGACTGTAATCCCAGCACTTTGGGAGGCTGAGGTGGGTGGATCACCTGAGGTTGTGAGTTTGAGACCAGCCTGATCAATGTGGAGAAACCACATCTCTACCAAAAATACAAAATTGTCTGGGTGTGGTGGTGCATGCCTGTAATCCCAGCTACTTGGGAGGCTGAGGCAGGAGAATCACTTGAACCTGGGAGGCAGAAGTTGCGGTGAGCCGAGATTGCACCATTGCACTCCAGCCTGGGCAATAAGAGCAAAACTCCATCTCAAAAAATATATATATGTATAATATGCATAATATATATCATTGATATACAATACATATATATGTATTATATATAATATGTACATAATTATATAATACATATATAAATATATATTTGAAATAAAATATATTTATATTTTTTGAGATAAAAAATATATTTTAATATATATTATACATATATATATTTTTAATTTCTTTATTTTTAAGACCCAGACTTAAAAATAAATTGCCCAGGCTGGAGTGCAATGGGGCGATCTCAGCTCACCACAACCTCCAACTCCCAGGTTCAAGTGATTCTCCTGCCTCAGCCTCCCAAGTAGCTGGGATTACAGGCATGTACCACCATGCCCAGCTAATTTTGTATTTTCTTTAATGCTGAATTTGGTTATTTTCTTTAATGATATTTAAGTAATGAAAACTAATCATGTATATTTCTGTTTAGCTACCATTTTCAGTGCTTTTAATTTCCTGTATAGATCCACATTTTTATCTCAAATTATTTTCCTTTGCCTGAAGGATATCTGACATTTCAGTGTGGGTGTGCTACTACTGAATTCTTTCAGCTTTTGATTATCTGAAAAAGTTTTTAACTTTGTTTCTGAAAGATATATTACTGAGTATAGAATTCTAGACTGAAATGTTCTTCTGCCAGTACTTTCAGGATATTCTTGCATTGTCTTCTCACTTGGGCTTGTATCTGATGAGAAGTCTGATTTTTTTTTTATGTCTATACAAAATATGTCTTTTTTTCACTGTTTGCTTTGAGTACTTTCCCTTTATCACTGGTTTTGAACAGTTTGATTAGGCAATTGGTTTGTTTTTAATTTTACAAACACCTTGAATCATGTAACTGGTTATGCTTCTTTCTTTTCATTGGTTGTCAAAAGCTCAGATCTACATTTCTTCTGCCCCAATTAATAAATGCTATTATATATACACTCTTCATCTGAGCCTTCATCATAATTTCTTTTATTTTCTCTCTTCCCTGATTTTTAATGTTTTAATTCTGTCACAGCACATGTTTTTCTCAATTTTATTTTTGTAGTCACAAAATAACTAACACATTCCCTTCATTCTAAGTCAAATATGGATGGTCCCTGACATACAACAGTTCAACTTACAGTTTTTCTATTTTACAATGGTGTGAAAGCAATCTACATTCAGTAAAAACCATACTTAAAATACCCTTAAACCATTTCACTTTCAGGAAAGTAGTCAATACATTTCATGAGACATTCAATACTTTGTTATAAATTGTTTTAGATTATTTTGTCCAGCTGTAGGCTAATATAAGTGTTCTGAGCACATTAAAGGTAGGCTAGGTTAAGCTGCAATGTTTGGTAGGCTAGGTGTATTAAATGCATTTTTGGTTTATGATATTTTCAACTTACAATGGGTTTATCAGGACATAACCTCATCATAAGTCAAGATCTTAAGTCAATCTGTATTTCATATGTATATAAAGAAAATACTAATGATTCCTCCTGCGTCTCTGAATCCCACCCTTTCAGTTAATAGTTATTAACAGTGTGGTGTGAAATGTCCATATCTATGTGCTCATATAAACGTCTAGAAATAACAGTTTATTTATTTTGTAAAGCACCTTGAGACCTTTGTGGGGAAAGGTAGGATATGAAAAAGTTAAACAAATGGAAATGTTTAATGGGAATAATGATATAAACATAGAAGTCATTGTAAATGTTTGGTGTCTGTTTCATTTTTGATAACTACATTTGAAGCACCTTGGGAGGGCTGGCCTTGGAGCATATAGCTGAGAGTGCATGGGATACTCTAGCCCCTGTGTCGTATAGCCAGTCAACAAGGAAAAGTTTTGACCTTGACTTTTTTGCAGATTATTAAAGACCTGCAGTTGCTGGGGTTGGTGGCAGCCCTGGTGATGGCTGATGTGATCCTGCTCATGACATGGGTGCTGACTGATCCCATCCAGTGCCTCCAGATCCTCAGTGTCAGTATGACGGTAAGGGGTCAAATCCCTAAGGAATCTCATCCCCAAACTGGACTGACCTCTGTGGATGCACAGGAGTCATCCTTGCAACAGGAAGATAAAGGACTCCAAGAGGAGGGAAAGTCAGGAGCTGTGCCTTCCATGAACTCCTCGCCCTTGTCTGCTGCCACTCCCACTGCTCCTCCTGCCCAAGTGTCTCTTCGTGGGCATCCAATGAGATGTCAGCATTCTGGAATCTGCCTGGTAGTTACAGTTACTGCCACTTCCACGTTATCAATAATGAGAACTTTCAGCTATGGGCAGTTATCTTCCCCTCATTGTAGAGGTGGAGGTAGTAGTTTGAGGTGGGCTTTGGAGTCAGTCAACAGTGGTTCAAATCCCAGCCCTACCACGCTCACCAGCTGGGTGACCTTGGGAAAGTTATTTAACCTCACTAAATCTGTTTCCTAATAGGTAAAATTGAGATAATACTACTACCTATTGTATAGGGTTGTGGCAAAGGTTAAGTGAAACAATGTAGGTGAAAGACTTAACCATGTCCAGTACATAGTATTCAATTATTAAGAAGTATGGCTGGGCACAATGGCTCATAGCTGTAATCCCCACACTTTGGGAGGCTGAGGCAGGTGGATCACTTGAGGTCAGAAGTTCGAGACCAGCCTGGCTAACATGGTGAAACCTCATCTCTACCGAAAATACAAAACTTAGCCAGGCATGGTGACACATGCCTGTAATCCCAGCTACTTGGGAGGCAGAGGTTGCAGTGAGCCAAAATTGCACCAGTGCACTCCAGCCTGGGTGACAGAGTGACACCCTGCCAAAAAACAAAAGAAAAGAAAAAATATAAAGCATTATATATCTCTAGCCTCACAAGAGGCTGAGGAATACAGTAGAATTGTGGAATCGTGACATTACAAGATTAATGTTTAAGGATTCAATGATTTACAAAACAGGTGCAAAATACTTTATTATTTTGTTGAGGCATTAATTCTATCGGGGTAGCAAAGCACATAACTGAGGGGTAAGCCCTACTGTCAACAAGCACACAGCTGTTAGTCCTATTTTATCATCTCTTCTAACACATGTCACTCTCATTTAGGTTCTAGTGGAGTCACCTAAATGCTACAGTTTTTACATGATAAGGGGGAAATCATGTGCTGTAGAAGAATTCATGCTCCAGGATATTCACGAAGATCTGCTATGTGTTTCTGGTAGTTGTGGACACCTTCAGTTCTGACTCTGTGTCCTTTCTAGGTGACAGGGAGAGATGTTTCCTGCACTTTAACCAGCACCCACTTCTGTGCTTCCCGTTATTCCGATGTTTGGATTGCTCTCATTTGGGGATGCAAGGTTGGTAACCACATCTCCTTGGGATATGGTCTCTGTCACTAACAAAATGGATATGAAGAGGGAATTACAGGAATTAACGAGGTGATGTCTGCAAAGAATATTGAACTCAGAGGAGACCTCTGTTGATACATAACCTCAAAGCCATGACCATTTTTACTTTTCTATTTTTATTTGTTTGGGGAGACTTTCCCAACACTTTAGACTCCCTCATTCAGTCCTCCCCCAAATCATCTGGAATTCAACCACTGTCTCTCCCATTAATTGGTCTGGTTTTTTTAATTGATTTGACAATACCAGTTTTCCCTTCAGCTTCTCTGCTAGAGGAATTATGAGGAGACATTTGACCCAGCTTTATTTGTTCTCCTAAGTGCCTTTAAATTTGGGTCAAGGTGTCCTGCTGCCTTTCACCCACCTGACTTTCTTGCTCTGGTTGGAAACAAGGCTGGCTCTGAGATAGATGGCAGCATTCACCGTGTGCTTTCAGGGGTTCCAGCTATCTCAAAGTATCTCCCATACTGCCCCAGATCTCTCACCATTAAACTCATTTGTCTCTGTTAGATGGGCAAAAGTAAGATATTATTTCCAGAAGGTAGAGGATACCTGCACAGCCCTGAGGAAAGTCCTGAGAACAGGACAACTGGTTTTCAGCTTAGAGGGACAGGGGCACAGGGCAGTCCTGATTCCATAAACAAGCAAGGCGTGCCTGACAGCAGGCTACCTGTTGACTCTCAAGGCACAGAGGTCTGGTTGACTGATTACTGACAGAAGAAAAGGAGTTTTTATAGAAATAAGTGCCCTTTAAGGGTAAACTCTGGCTAGAAGCAGTGGCTCACATCTATAATCCCAGCACTTTGGGAGACTGAGGTGGGCAGAACACTTGAGGTCAGGAGCTCGAGAAGAGCCTAGCCAACGTGGTGAAACTCTGTCTCTACTAAAAATACAAAAATTATCTGGGTGTGGTGGCGCATGCCTGTAGTCCCAGCTACAGGGGAGGCTGAGGCAGGAGAATTGCTTGAACCCGGTAGGCAGAGGTTGCAGTGAGTCGAGACTGCGCCACTGCACTCCAGCCTGGGCAACAGAGTGAGACTCCATTTCAATTTTAAAAGGGTAAACTTTACCACTCCACCACTAAGAAAGTATTAGAAGTTGTTACTTCTGAGAACAGCTCATGGAGTGGGCAGGACTAGGGCAGGGAAACATTGATTTTTAACTATGTGCAAATGTTACTTTGACAGGAATATTTTTTTAAAAAAGACTCCAGGAAGTGAACAGCTCTTGATCTCCAGAATTTTGCTAATGGTTAAAAAATGAGCTTCAGATGTGACAGATCAGGGTTTGAATTCTGACTCTACCCCTGCCTAGCTGACGCTGAGCCTCATTTGACCTCTCTGAGCCTCAGTTTACTCATTTTAAAAATGGGGGTGGTGATAATATCCCTCAGAACTGTTCTGTTTCTAAAGAGCATTAAGCTTGTTAAGGGTTTTCAACCTCTCCTGGCCCATAGCAAGAGCTCAGTAAATATTAGCTGTTATTATTACTGTTCTTTCCCTGCCCCCTACACACTTCTGGAAAATACATTGTCTCTGTCGGTTCCTCAAGTCCCTGTAGAAGAGCATGTCCTCCCCAGCCCAGAAAGCCACCACTTCCCCCATAGCAACTTACTTTGTGACTCAACTTGATTTTTTTCTCCATTGCCTTTTATATATCCCATTTCTATTTTATTTCACTGTAATATCTTTCCATAGGACAAAGAAGGAAAAGGAAGGAGAATTAGGAAATTTACTGAGCCAGACCCTGTAGACTCCCTGGTCGGTGAGAAGCTCAGGAGGACCCCAATCTCCACATTAAGTTCTAGGAACCCCCACCTGAACCTGTCAACTGCCCCATACCCCACACTTCTCGGCAGTTAAGGCCAATGATATGCAAGGATCAGACATGATTCACTCAAACACCAGCCAAGAACATATAGACACTTGATTCATACATATTTCCCCTTTAACAAGAATTTTAATGGAATTAAAATCTTTTAATGGAATCATATCTGAACATTTCAAAATCACAGAATTAATTTCATTTACCTTTGATTAAATTAGCAATGATCCAACTCTGCTGAAACTTATGTGTCCTTTAGTTATTCAAGATCTTAGGATGGTCACATTTGGCCCTCAGGCCCCATATGGGACACTGGACATGAGGGGAACCTGGAAGGCATCTCTTCCATGTTGACTTCTTCCCTCCTGGCACAGCCAATTCTCCAAAATATTTTCTTTAAGGCCACCCCTGAAGGAGGAGTTGACCACGTTGTATTATTTCAGGGTCACCAGCAGGTGCCCTGCCGATACCTGACCTTATTTTTATTATTAATTCTCCCTCTGAATCCCCAGTCCCACCCCCACCTCGTCTGCCATAGCATCTTCATGTTCTGAGTCATCAACATTAACATTTTTAGGTTGGGTGCGGTGGCTCCTGCCTATAATCCCAGCATTTGGGAAGCCAAGGTTGGTAGATCACCTGAGGTCCAGAGTTCAAGACCAGTCTGATCAACATGGTGAAATCCCATCTCTACTAAAAATACAAAATTAGCCAGGCGTGGTGGCACATGCCTGTAATTCCAGCTACTCAGGAGGCTGAGACAGGAGAATGGCTTGAACCCAGGAGGCAGAGGTTGCAGTGAGCAGAATCATGGCATTGCACTACAGCCTGGGCAACAAGAGCAAAACTCTGTCTCAAAAAAAAAAAAATTGTGCTTACCTTAAATCCACCTACCAAACTGAGTGCCTTAAAAGCCAGGACCATGACTTCTTTGTGTCACTGTTTTCTGCCCTACACCTACTATAGCCCTGTGCACAGTCAGAAAGGTGAACCTATATTGAATCTGTATGTTATATATTATTGACTAAAGCTTTGATTTCTGTTTGAGTGCAGCTCCAGTGGGGGAGCGGGGCAGCATTTTAAGGTGCTATGAGTTATTTTCTCCTTAGTACAAATGACAACTCAGAGGGCAAGTTTATATTCATAGGAAAGAGCGAAGAATAGGGCACTGGGTTCCCTGTAGGGGAAACTATAGATGGAACTTTTGCTGCCTGTGCCTGCCCCACAGTCTCGCCTAGGTCCCAGCCTGCCTTTGTCTTCCCCTTTTTTTTACCCTTCATCTCCCATAAACACTCACTGGCACAGAGCCGCTGCTAGCCTGTAGAGATCATTCATGTAAATTTTTTAAGGTCCCATCCCTTCTAGTCAGATGCAGTCTTGCAGGTGCAAGGCTTGGCAAGCATGGTGCCTTTGGGCAGATTAGAGAAAAGAGCCCCTTCCTCTGGGCACTGCCCCGGCTGTAGCATGTGAGTTGACAAGCAGATGACAGGTCACTTTCAGCTTCCATGTGCACCCTCAGCTTTGAGCAGGCCAACACTGACAATGGCTGTAGCAGCAGTCACTACCAGAGGTTCTTTGGGCCCACTGCCTTCCTAGTGCCCAACAGCTCTTTCTGTAGGGATCCTAACCCACCCACATGATCCAGTACTATGCCTCATCTCAGAAGAATCCTGTTTAATGGCTGACTTGCTGACTTCTGGTAAACTAATTCTCAGCAAGGAGAGGAAAATAACATTTACTAAGTACCTAGTAGGTATAAGGGGTTGCCCTGATGGTTTTCCTATGTGGTGTCTTAGTAAATCCTCATAGCAGTTATTAAGGTAGGTATTATTATCCTAATTTCACAGATAAGGAAATTGGTTGCAAACCCACTGCTCTTTGGCCTGTTGTTCCACTTTTCTGAGCCTCCATCACCTCTTCACCTCCCAGGGCCTGCTCCTGCTGTATGGTGCCTACCTGGCTGGCCTGACTGGCCATGTCAGCTCCCCTCCTGTGAATCAGTCCTTAACCATCATGGTAGGGGTCAACATCCTCGTACTGGCTGCTGGGCTTCTTTTTATAGTCACCAGATACTTGCACTCCTGGCCCAACCTGGTCTTTGGACTCATGTCTGGAGGGATCTTTGTTTGCACAACTACAATCAACTGCTTCATCTTCATTCCCCAGGTATGGATTTTGTGGGGCTGGTCCTCTTAGTCACTCCAGAGTTTTTTACTGACAAATTGCTCATTTTGTTTTCTGCTGATACCTTTCCATGCCACTTATTGGAGAGTCAGAAAGCAGACAGGGGATCCTAGTGAGCTGGTTGTCTTTGTCCTTCCTCATTGTCCTCGTCAGCAAGGGGGACAGGCCAGAGTGGTCCAAGTGGTGGTGGCAACCCCCGTTTGCACTCTTCACACCAGTGGTGCCTGTCCCTTGGGGGTGGTCCCTCACAGTCCCACTTCTCCACCCACCCTCCAGTCTGCTGCGCTCATTCCCAACCCTCCCCTCATTTCCATCATGTTATTAATCTTCCCTTCACTAGCCTGGGAGCAAAGAACCTTTATATTTTTCCAGTTGAGGTTTGCAGACTCACAGGGAAAAATCCATTTGGAACTTTATGATTTAAAATGCTTTTTCTTTCTTTTTATTGGAGGAAAATAGAGAACATTTCTCTGCTTTTTACAATAAAGAGAAGTAGAAACTAAATAAAAATATGTTTCATAATATGGGGATTTAAAAAAAACAAATGAGGGAGGAAGACAGAAGCAGAAATAGCCAGAGAGCAAAGAAAAAGGGAGTCAGAGGGATCAGAGAAGGAATCCTAGGCTCAGAAAGGAAAGTGATGTGGAATTGTTCATGTTGTGCCCTGGGGACCACATATATCTAGGTTAATGAACTTGGCATTAGCCACTTTCTTGTTTCCCTCCTAGTTCTCCTTTTCTTTCCTCTGAGGCCTCCCTCATCCCAATCCTCCCTTATGACCCTGTCCTGATTCCCATTGCAGCTTCCAGTTGACTGTAAACTAATTCCTCATGAGGGAGCTAACTGATAATGTAAGTGTTGCCTGATGGCAGGTTATAGTGTATTTGTGAGAGGGAAGAGTGCACTTTGGGGCATGATAGTGTGACACAGGCGTAGCCCTGTTAGTATTCTCCTCATTACAGTACTCAACAGAATACATAAATATGGGAAAATCTGCATCAACAGCATTAGAAACTGTGGATGGATATTGCCTTTGTGCCAAAAACTGGAGGAATTTTTGCCAAATCTTAATGTTGTAAAAACTGGAATGAAGGAAGCCATTGAGAGCTGAGGCTTGTTTGTCTAGGATGAGGCAAAAATGGGATCTGAGAAGAAAGGACTGTTGCTCCCTGGGAGACAAGGGGAAGGGAGTAGGCAGGGGCCTTTGGGAAGCCCACGCCTTAGGCCCTGTGGCCAACACTGTTGATTGGTAACCTCTTTGCCAATGTCTTTCTTCCTTACTTGCCTTCAGTATAGAGACTGAAACAGCTAAACTCTTCCTTTGCCAGCCTCCCATGTAGATAAGGGTGCTTACATGGCACCATTTTGAACACTAGAAGTTTTCTGGGAAACTTCTGAGAAAGCTTTTGCTTTCCTGAAAAAGATCATAAGCATAGCAAACATCATCCCTTTCACCTTCTTCCTGCCTTGAAAGTATGTGATTCCTGGAGGTATGGCAGCCCTTTTGTGGCCCTGAGGAAAAGACCAAGAGAATATAGTTATCATACTAGGAAAATATAGCTCTTTCTATGAAAGACTATAAAGTTTGGAGGAAATGATCTGTGAAGGGAGTCTGCAGTTCACAAGAAGAGGACTACATATGTCTCAAGATTTAGAGAATCTGCCTTCCTCTGAAGTAGAAGGGTTTAGAAGATACCAGACTTGGCAATAGAATTCAAATGATATTGTCTCTTTTCAACTAAAGCAAGCCACTATGAAAAAAACCTACTCTTAATAAAATATTGAATAAGGATTAAAAATATTGTATTAAATCTAAAATCTCAATAGAAGCATTGACACTACAAAATATTGAATTGGGCACTACAAAATATTGAATTAGTGAATTACTTTAAGGAAACAGAAAATAAGAAAAAAAAAAAAGAGACTAGATAAGAAAATACGGAAAACAGCTGGGTCCGGTGGCTCATGCCTATAATCGCACCACTTTGGGAGGCTGAGCCAGGCAAATCACCTGAGGTCAGGAGTTCAAAACCAGCCTGATCAACATGGTAAAACCCCATCTCTACTAGAAATACAAAAATTAGCTGGGCATCATGGCATCTGCCTGTAATCACAGTTACTAGGGAGACTGAGGCAGGAGAATTGCCTGAACTCAGGAGGCGGAGGTTGCTGTGAGCCAAGATCACACCATTTCATTACAGCCAGGGCAACAAGACTGAAACTCTGTCTCAAAAAAAAAAAAAAGAAAGAAAGAGAAAATATGGAAAACATCTAGGGATATACAATTGAGAGCTGATAGGAGCCTCTGAAGGAAAACAAAATTATTTGGGGCAGAAGTCATTATCGAGGAACTATCAGAGGAAAGCCTTTCTGAGCAAACAAGGCCTTGGTCAGAAAATTGAAGGAACTGGCAATCTCCATGATGACACCCTGCTTACAGTTCCACTCTCCACCCTCACCTCTCACCACTGCCCTCCTTGCATCCTAAGCCTCAGCTGCATCACTTCCACTTTGCCTGGTGTTGGAGCCCTTAGCAACTAGGACAGTTGTGATATCTGGGTACTCTCATATACACACAAAAATGCAGAGTGAAGTGCTGCTTGAAATCTGCCTTCCAGGTTTTCACTAAGCAACAAGCACTTGATTTGTTGAACTGGGAATGGAAATGGAATGATTATGAGGTACAGGAATTGGATGGATGGATGGCACTGGACTTTTTCCCTCCTAGCTTTCTTAAGTTTCCTTTCTCTTAGTCTGTCTTTCCTTTTCCATTTTCTCCCTTGTGCTTTTTTTTTCTCCTCTGAAACTAACTGACCGTGATGTGAAACTAAAAAATATTTTTGGTAGTCTGTTGTATTTTAGGTTTAGAAGGTAAGTTCTTTTTCAAAAATAAAAGTAACTGAGGTCTGTTAGGTTTCTGTCTATTCCCCCTCTGGCTCAGAGGTCTTTGATAGAAAAACAATTCTTCCTGTCATACTTGCATAGAAGAGAAGAACAGCTGAGTAAATTTGGGAAAGTGCATGAGGGGAGCTATCTGGGTAGGAATTAGGGTTTGCAGCAAGATGGGATTCCTTCTTGCCAGTGAGCTTTTAGTCAGGATTGTGATGGGAAGGGTTTGTGAAAGCAAAGGCACAGATACTTCCCAGGGCAGCTAGGCAGCGCCATAGAGCGGATGAAATGGATGACATTACTAAGGAGGCAAGGGGGGTCCAAGAAGCCTTTGACACAGGCACTCAGGAAATGCCTGAGTGTTTATGCCAAGCACTGAGGTCATCACCAGGAGTCAGCTAGCCGCTGCTTTTCTGACCTGAATATGACCCATCCCATAGCACTCTGCTCCCTTGGAGAGACAGGCAGATCCTGAGGTAGGACATTATTTTCTCTCTCCTCTAACCCCCAAAGCATTTCATCGCTCCTCCCTGAAGATGTGTAGGCCTTTCTAATCTGCTTTATAATTATCCATAAATGTCCCAGCACCCCTACTAAACCAATGAGCATTTTAAAGAAAGCTTCCTTCATTTGTTCATGCATCCATCCAGCCAGCCATTTATTAACTGCTGGGAACCTGCACTTAAACACAGGGCCTACCTCTAGGTCTAGTGGGGAGCAGACAGAATTATAATACATGTGTTGAGAGCTTTGAGAAAGGTCTTCCCCAGCCCATCTGGGAACTCGGTGGCACCTTCTCAGAAAATGAGGCTGGGCATGGTGGCTCATGCCTATAATCTCAGCACTTTTCAAGGCTGAAGTGGGTAAATCGCTTGAGCCCAAGAGTTTGAGACCAACCTGGGCAACATGGCAAAACCTGGTCTCTACAAAAAATGCAAAAATTGGCCAGATGTGGCTCACACCTGTAATCCCAGCACTTTGGGAGGCCGAAGCAGGTAGATCACTTGAGGCCAGGATTTAGAGACCAGTCTGGTCGACATGGTGAAACCCCATCTCCACTAAAAATACAAAAATTAGGTGGGTGTGTTGGTAGGTGCCTGTAATCCCAGCTACTTTGGAGGGTGAGGCAGGAGAATCACTTGAAACCGGGAGGCAGAGGTTGCAGTGAGCTGAGATCATGCCACTGAACTCCAGCCTGGGTGACAGAGTGAGACTCTGTCTCAAAAAAAAAAAAAAAAGCAAAAATTAGCCAGGCATGGGGGCCCATGCTTCTGGTCCCAGCTACCCAGGAGGCTGAAGTGGGAGGATTACCTGAGCCTAGGATGTTGAAGCTGCGGTGAGCTGTGATTGTGCTACTGAACTCCAGCCTGGGCAACAAAGTGAGACCCTGTCTTGAAAAAACAAATAAATAGATAAATAAGCAAAGAAAGGAGGGAGGAAGATGAGGTGTTTGAGCTCAGTCTTGAAGAAACCATAAGAGTTCATTGAAGAGATGGGGGAAAGTAGGTGACATTTCTGATGGAATAATATTATGACCAGAGGCCGGGGGGGTGCGCGGAGAGAGAGAGAGAGAGGAGAGAGGAGAGAGGGGAAAGGGGAGAGGGGAGAGAGGAGAGAGGAGAGAGAGAGAGAGAAAGAAGAAGAGAAGAGAAGAGAAAAGAGGAGAGAGAGGAGAGAGATGTTTGGAGCACCAGTCTTGTTATTTTTGAAGCACAAATGGAAACCAGGGGAAGAATGACAAGAGCGGGGAGAGGCACACCTGGGGAGCTTCTGAGGCCCTGCTGAACCCTGTTAAAGAGTTGACATTCAGTCCCACTGTGTTAGTTTCTTACTGCTGCTATAACAAATTACCACAAGCTCAGTGGCTTAAAATAATACAAATTTATTATCTTAAAATTTTGGAGGTCAGAAATCTGAAATAGGTCTTATTTGGCTAAACTTGAGGTGTCAGGAGGTCTGTGTTCCTCCCAGAGTTGCAAAGGGAGAATCTGTTCCCTTGTCTTTTTCAGCGTCCAGAGGCCATCTGCATTCTTATGCTTATTGTCCCCTTCTCCACCTTCTGAGTCAGCAGGGTTCACATCTGCCAGAAGAGATTCAAATCTCTCTCACCACTGTTTCGATTGCTGCATCTCCTCCAACTCTGGCTCTCCTCCCTCCCTCCTATAAGGATTTTTATGATTACATTGGGCCACCTGCATAATCCAGAATAATTACCCCTCTCAAAATCCTTAATCACATTTGCAAAGTGCCTTTTGCCACATAAGGTTACATACTCACAGGCTCCAGGGATTAGGATGAGAAGGAACATTTTTGAGAAGCTCCTGTTCAGCCTGCCACAACCCAAAGGCTCAGAAAACCAGAATCTGTGTGTCCTTCTGCAGGAAGGCAGAGAAGAGGCCCTAAATTGTGAAATTTATATCTGGATTCCAGAAACTCTGAAGGGTCGAACCTTAAGGATCAGTATCTTCCCAAATAAGGAATGAAGGGCTAGAGTAACCAAGGGGTATCTTGGCTCCACTTGGCCAGTTTGGGGAGAGAAAGATCAAAAGCCCTGAGAGAGTCTTTAGGCCAGTGCTGAGCTGCTCCTCTGCCAGCCTTGCAGAGAGGCCTCAGGCTGGGAGTGCTGGGGGAGACAAAGGAAAAACCACATTACCACACTGCCACGGTCACTGCGAGGAGAATAACTCTAGGAGGGCTGATTCATCCACCCAAGGCGCAGATGACCTTGTGGTGTTGGCTCCAGTAGCTCCCAAGTAGGATGGTAAGCTGAGAGCATCCTTTTGTGGGGAGGAGGCCTTCAAGAACGGCATCTGAGAGGGGGGTACCAGGCCTGACCCAGCATAGGTCACACAGACTCCTGATGCCATGAAAGACTCATGATGAGTCAGCAGAGGACCCAAGAGGACTTTGGTGATAATATCAATTTCAGTGGTATTAAAGTTGATGGCAGGATTCAGAATCCTATCTGAGATTTATAAAATTTGGTTTATACTACATGGTCAGAGCTTAATAAATGTTTGATGGATGAGTAAAGAGATCCCAGGTTCCCCTTGAGGCTACCCATGGACACCACAGCATCATTTCTAGAACCAAGGTCCCAAGGTCCCCAGCATCCATCACTAGGCCACTTAGTTATGAGAATTCCTGAGGAGAAAACAGAGGCCTTCCATACCGTGGCTTCCTGTATCACTCATATTACTGGCATTTGGCGGGTCAGGAGTTCCCCACAGACACAGATGGAGGCTCCTGTTTCTATGTTCAGCTTCATTCCTGTTAAACTAAAGCAGCCCAGGCTTCTGCAGAATGTTCCTCAAGACCAGTTTCTCCTGAAGAGCCTTCCCTGCTCTGCCACCGTAAAGTCTCTCTCTTCATCAGCTGAGTGAGGACGTGCAGCCGGGCATGGTGTCCTGCTTACAGCTGTGGTTCTGGGGCTAAGTGGCTGTGTGAGCTTAGACAGCCTCACTCCTGAGCCTCTCCTAGTTGGTCAAAGAAATTAGGTGATGAGCTAGAGCATCCCACTGTGGCAAGGGGGCCTCCCTCAAAGGCTCTCCAAGCCTTGATTATTGACTTGAGTTAGAAGTCCACCCAAAGGAACTGAATTTTCAATAGCAGCAAGCACACCATTAATAAACAAATGAAAAAGAATTAAATAGCTGCATACAACTAGAAAGTTTCATCTGAAATATATAGTGTTCAGATTGCTTAACCCCAGGACAGCTCCTAACTCTAGTTGTAGAATGTGGTGGTAGAAGATACTTCAGCCCTGGTTGTCTTTGATCAGTTTGGCAATGAGTAGGCGGATGGGCTAAGGCTGTTCCGTTTTACCTTCCTGCCTTGTTCTTCCTTCGGAGGTTTTTGTTTGTGTTTGTTTTTAGGGTTTTTTTTTTTTTGCTTTTGTTTTGTTTGTGTGTTTTTTGGAGATTGGGTCTCACTCTGCCACCCAGGCTGGAGTACAGTAGCATAACAGTAGTTCACTGTAGCCTCAAACTCTTGAGCTCAAGTGATCCTCCCACTTCAGCCTCCTGAGTAGCTGGGATTATAGGAGTGAGCCATTGCTCCTGGCCCTTTGGCATTTTTTAAATTATATAATCTTAACATTCTCTATACCTTTTGTCATTAGCATCTATGAGCCCTCCAGAGCAAAGTACATTTTAAGGAGAGAATAGCTCATGCATGTATGTATCTATGATAGTGTCATTCCTTGGTGTTTACAAGAGTGAGAGAATGTGTTTCTGGGTGTGTGATTAAATAAATAACGTGGTCTTTTATCTAACAGCTGAAGCAATGGAAGGCATTTGAAGAGGAAAACCAAACAATCAGACACATGGCGAAATATTTCAGCACTCCCAGCAAAAGCTTCCATACCCAGTATGGTGAAGAAGAGAACTGCCACCTGAGGGAAGAGAAAAGCTCCATGGAGAGGCTTCTCACAGAAGTAAGCTCCGCCTGGAAGATTCCCTGTAAAGGATTCAATCATGCATCGGTGGCCCCAGAGGCTCTTAATGCTAATGTTCTCTTTTCCTCTCATTCTCCCACATCCCTTTACAGCAAGCAAAGCCTCACCATTTCCCCAGTGACATGCATCTACTTCATTCATTCAATGGACAGATATAAATGAGTCACTCCTATGTGCCAGGCATTGTGCCAGTGAACAGTGAACAAAAGCATAGTTCCTACCCTCACAGAGCTCACAGCCTAGTGGAGGAAATAGATATTCATTCATTAAGCAAACATATCATTATAAATTGTCATAGGAATTATGAAAGAAAAATCAGAATGGTAAGACAGACTAATGTGTAAAAAGGGCAAGAAAACCTAATTTAGGGCAGTCAGAAAAGACTCAATTTGCTAAGAGCTGAAGGTTAAGTACAAATTAGCCAGACAAAGAGTACAGGGAAAAGTATTCCAAGCAGAGGGAACAATATCATAAAGGCCCTGAAATGTAGTGGACACTAGCTTCTGTGTGATACGTTTTCTCTTCTTTTTTTGAGATGAGATCTCTCTGTTTCCCAGGTTGGAGTTCGCTGGTGCCATCTCAGCTCACTGAAACCTCCACCTCCCAGGTTCAAGCAATTTTTATGCATCAGCCTCCCAAGTAGCTGGGACTATGGGCACGCACCACCACACTTGGCTAATTTTTGTATTTTTAGTAGAGATGGCGTTTCACCATGTTGCCCAGGCTCGTATCAAACTTCTGACCTCAAGTGATCCACCTGCCCTGTCCTCCCAGAGTGTTACAATTACAGACATGAGCCACTATGCCTGGCCTCATTTTCTCTTTTTACATAGAGTAGTGTCTTCATCTCCAAGATCTCATGGGGTCCTTACTGTCTTTTCCAGGTACTGGCCACAGATCTTAATCAGCCCATCATCCCAGAAAGTCCAGGCATGTCTACAGATGGGGTAGGGGACTAAATAAGGGCTTCTGAATGGGATTGTAGTGCCACGGGAGAACCAGGCAGCCCCCTAGGCTTTTTCTTCTGTATTTGAGCCAGAGTTGGTCCCTCTCCCAGACTTGGGCAGTGTGGTGCAGGCTTGAAGAAAGCACATGGAAAAGCTTGAGGGCTTCATTGACTCAGGAAGAAGGCACAGGGCCCAGGGGAATTAGTCAGTATTTTGACACTAACTGAATTACATTCCACATTTTTTTTTCAGTTTAGAATCTATTTCAGTAGGTGTTATTTAGGAAACTGGGCTTTTTTGTAATAGGACTGCTGCCTAGGTATTAATAGTCCCTGATGAGAGGATAGTGTGATGAGGACCTAAAAAACACAACAGATGAAGGAATTCAGCATGCTCAGGCACCCACTGTTCATGCCCCTCTATGGTTCTGAACCTTTTTTGTCCATCAGAGTAACACCTCTCCATTTCTTTACTATTTAGTATTTCAAAGCCAGATTTCTTTCCACCTGGCAAGGAAGTAATATTGCCTTTAACACTCTGTGAAGTCTTCAAATAAGCATTTTTTTTCCTGGCTGCACAGAAGGCCAGAAACTTGGCTACAACTGCCAGGATGGTTTTCATTTACAGTCAGCTGATGCTGGAACAGCCAAGTGGACTGACTCTTTAGCCTTATGGTAATTTGCAACGTGCTATTTGTACTTCTGCCATGCTACCCATTTCCCATGCAGGGACTCAATCTGCTATATCCAAAAAGATGCCTTGAGTCTGCAGAGGAAGCCCCTCAACGGGCACAGACACACAGGTATTAAGAAGTTGGCCTCCCCAGTACATGCTATACCTGGACTGTCTTTCCCAGAACAGACTTGAGAACTAGGAGCCAGTCCTAGGGCCCCATGGCAGGTGTCAAGAGGTTTCAGCATCTGCATCCTCAGCTCCAGCACTGCCCATTAGATAAACAGGATTATCTCTCCTGCCTTGACATATGCACAGACCTTGATTCTGACTCACAGTGTGCAGTAACCTCCTGTGCAGTCCCCACTCCCATACTAAGGCCTTCCTCTTACTTTCCCATGGTCTGGGCAGCCCATCTTCTCACACTTTTCCCTCTTGCCCCTATAGCCAGGGGTCCCCTAGAAGCTGTTTGTGGCAGCATCTATCACTGACTGACTTCCCTGTCGAAGAGAAGGTCAGCAGATAGAACCTCCCGTAAGACTGAAGTACCTTCCTTGTACACTCCACAGCCAAGTAAACACACCTATTACTTTTCTTCCCTGAACCATAGAAACAAGAGGCTCATTCCATTTCTCCTTACGGCTTACACCCTGTGAAACATGCAGGTGGGCAGGTGGGTGTTTTGCTTCCCTCAATGTGTCAAAAATAATAATTAATAAGCTCATTGAAGTGCAGCTGCCATGGTAGGTCAGATTTCAGTCCCATAATGGCAGTGCCTCACACCACACCTCTAATTAGTATGCAGCCATGGTAAAAACAGAGTCCCACTTCTTTTTCTGGAAGAAGGAAATTTTCTGTTTAGGTTGACATTTCTAAATCTGTCACCAGTCAGCTTCAGATGTTTGGCTTGCTGGGAGAAGGATATTCTTCCCAACTCCATGTTTATGGTATCTTTCTATACTCAAAGGAGTTTATGGGTAAGGCATAAAAAGGCAGCACTCAGATTTCACCCACAGGAGTAGTTGCCATCAGCAGATGGTCCCTTCCTAGCTCTGTGGGGCTATAAAGGCCTTCAGAAGCCAACATGAGAATGTGCATGATGGGCTTCGGGAGGAAAAGCTAGTGGAGGAGGAAGAGAGTGAGGTCCCCTCATGAGATCCTCAGAGAGATACCTGGCACAGCCCAGTATCACAAACACCTGAGTGTTTTCCTGTTACTCATCCATTCTGCCCCTGGCAAGTCCTTGAGTCATCTGCGCTCACCCAGCAACACCCAGACCTTACCACTCTGCAGGTAGAAGGAAGGGAGAGAGGACAGGCATGCGTGTGCTCACCTGAAAGTCCCTTCCACCTTACTCAGCAGTCACTCACTGGCCCTGGTCTTTCTTCTGATACTTAGAGAAGTAGACTCAACCAGGGTGAAACTGGCAATACCAACTATCAGAAAAATCACCTTCCCACTTCTACAAGGGAAGCAGTGGATCTGTTTGGAGGGTTGCTGGTCAGAATATTGGACTATTTTACTTAAGCCACTGCTCCCTTAAAGGAGCATTTCTAGGCAACTCTCACATGTAAACCTGAGATGAAACCACATCTCACTCCATGTGAGACTACTAGTTATGGAGGTTCACTCCATAACTGGTAGTCCTAGTTAGCAGTTATGGACTGGTGTAACAATTTGTATTAGTTATCCTAACACAGGGAACGTCCTTTTGTTTCTAGGGCATAATAAATGGAGGTCCAAATGCTCATCCCCAGCTTCTAAAGATGATAGTAACAAAGAGGCAGTATTTTGGTGTTCAGACAAGCACTTTCTAGAACATTCGCTTACATTATTGCCTTCCCAGAGCCCTCAACCCCATGTCATCTGCCCCAAGTCCAGCCGTTCCCTTTGAAGATCTCATCCTTGCTCTGCCTTTGAGGATCGGAAGTTTCCAGAGGTGGACTCACAGTCTGAGCTTAGAGAATCAGCTGCTGCACCACAGAAAGATGTCTGGGCTGCAGTCACTCCCTGTAACTCACCGCCAACGCTCCTACTCCTACTTCATGCCCCACCATCTTGCAGTTAGAGCAGGCACACCTCTGCAGCTCTCACCTGCCAGCCCTCTCCTGCACAGCTTGTTTATCAGCTAACATCCGTGCAGTGAGTAGGCAGCTCAGTAGCAGAACTGCCCCAGGCTCCTTTGTCTCCTGGGCTCCATTCTAGGGCTGCTGAATCAAGCTAGCCGGGGCTTAGGCCCAACAATCCTTTCATTTTTTTAATGCTTCTTCAATAGTTCTGATGCTTGCACTCCTTTAGGTCAGTGGTCCCCAACATTTTTGGCAACAGGGACCGGTTCAGTGGAAGACATTTTTTCCACAGACGGTGGCAGGGAAATGGTTTTGGGATGAAACTGTTCCACCTCAGATCATCAGGCATTCACTTCTCATAAGGAGTGTACAGCCTAGACCCTCGCATGTACAGTTCACAATAGGGTTTGCACTCCTATGAGAATCTAATGCCACAGCTGATCTGCTGGAAGCTCAGGTGGTAAAGCTTCCTCGCCCACTGCTCACCTCCTGCTGTGTCAGCCTGGATCCTAATAGTCCATGGACCAGTACCAGTGCATGGCCCAGAGGTTGAGGACTCCTGCTTTAGGTGAAATCGACATCTGGTAGTACCACATGGTAGCTTTGACCACTCACTCCCAGAGGTCCAGCCTAGGGAGGTGATAACACCAACCTGAGATTCTCTTTGGCCCCTCTCAGCTCCAATCTTATTTGATTGTCTCAGGAATCTCCACACTTATCCTTGTTCTTCTCATTTTCTTGTTTCCCTATTTGTTCATCCCCTGGAGATATTCTTCACATTAATCTAAATTTTTACAAAATTGTGATAAACCACAAATGGGACCATTCTAAACATTATTCAGCTTGTGCCTGCAGAGTGACCTGAGCCTCTTGGTTCTGGGAAAGGTGAGAGGGCACTGCAGTGGCCAGCAAGCACTCAGGCTGTGCCTCCTTGCTCTTCATAAATGTCTCACAGTGTGGGGATGTAAGGAGGAGACCAAGATAATGACAGTAAATCACGGTTGGCCTTTATTGAGCACCATATATGTTAGTCATTGTCCTAAGCCCTTTACATGCATCAACCCATTTCACTGGAGGGAGGTACCTTCTCAGAACCTGAGGGAAGAACTGAGATTGAAGCCAAGGTTCTTCCAAAGCCGCACCTTCTCCACCATGGTAGACATTATGGAACCCTCAGTGACATCTTTTGTTGATGGTTTTGCTTTAATTTTACAGAAAAATGCCGTGATCGAAAGCCTGCAGGAACAAGTAAACAAAGCCAAAGAGAAGCTTGTGAGGCTGATGTCAGGTGAGTGCACCTATGACCTCCCAGACGGGGCTGCCCCACCTGCCTCTTCCCCAAGCAAGGACGTCCAGGCCATAGCCTCGGTCCACAGCCTGGCAGCTACTCAGGGGCCTTCAGGACACCTCTTTGACTTTCAGAATGATCCCGGCATGGTTGCCCAGGACTCCCAGTGCACCTCAGGGCCCTCCTCACATTCGCAAAGACTTGACAGGCCTGGGAAGGACATCAGCCCCTTCCCAGGGAAGGAGGAGAAGATATCTGACTTGAAAGACTTTTCTGATCATTTAGACTCAGGTTGTAGCCAGAAGCCATGGACTGAGCAAAGGCTGGGTCCAGAAAGAGGAAACCAAGTCCCCATGGCCCCCAGCCACAGTTTCCTACCAGGCAAAGGAGGCTCAGGTCCCCAGAGACAGAAGCATCTGGAGAACTCAGAGGAGCCCCGAGAGTGGCAGTCAAAGGTCAATTCAGTGATCAGGGAGAAACTTCAGGAGGTATTACAAGATCTGGGCCTGGGCCCTGAGGCTTCCCTCCCCACTGCCCCCTCTTGTTGCCAGCACCCCTGGAGGAACAGTGCTGCCTTCAGCCCCCAAAAGATGCCCCTCTCCAAGGAGCTGGGCTTCAGCCCTTACATGGTGAGCAGAAGGCGGGCAGCTCAGCGGCCCCACTCACACTTTCCTGGCTCTGCTCCCTCATCTATGGGGCACCGGGCAAAAAGAACTGTTTCTGGGGTACACAGCAGGCTATATGTGGAGAATGGGGACAGCCCCAGCCTGGCCCCACAAACTGCTCATTCCAGAGTACGAAGACCTTCTTCCAGGAAGCCTTCACTACTTTCAGATTCTGCAGGTACCCTGGAGGGCAGCAAACAAAGTCAGACAGAGCCAGAAGGGGCTAGAGGGAGTGAAGCAGTCTTTCTTCCCCAGCCTTCTGGTTCTAGCCAGGCACCAAGTCCTGCTGCCCCAGGCCTCTCCAAAGCCTCATCTGACTTGCCTGAGCAGTGGCAGCTGAGGCCCCCAGTCCCCTCAGTCTGTCCCTCCCTGTCTTCTCAACACAGCTACTTTGACACTGAGTCCAGCAGCTCAGATGAGTTCTTCTGCCGCTGCCACCGGCCCTACTGTGAAATCTGCTTCCAGAGCTCTTTTGACTCTAGTGACAGTTGCACATCAGACACTGACTCTGAGCCTACTGGGGGGCTGGCTTCCTGGGAAAAGCTGTGGGCCCACTCCAGCCCTATTGTGAACTTCAAAGATGACTTGAAACCCACACTGGTGTGAAAAGCAACAGAGCTGGTCTAGACACAGAGGTCAGGCCAGGAGAAGCTGTACCAAGGCCCAAAGGAGGAGAGCCAATTTCTGGTCTTTGGGGAACAGATTAGTGCCCTGCATTTGACCAGCCCAAACCATGTTTCAGCTAGGCTCACTGTGTTACTTTGAGCACTTCTTGATCTATAAAAAGAGGGGCATTGCCTGTCCTGTTACTACCTCGCAGCCTTACTATAAAAGACTCCAGATGAGTGACTATAAAAGATAGTGACTCCTTGGATAAAAGTTGCTGCATGAACACAGGATTTTCTGTCCAGGTCAGCCTGCATTCTATAAAACTCCTAATATATTCAGATAGATGGCTGAATTGACAGATGAAGAAATGGGAAATTTCTGCAGATCCTGAGGTGTAGACTGTCACCCATCAAACTGGCGTTTCGGTGGACAGACCTACCAGGAAGATAAATCTCCTATATCCTTGGGCCTCCTACTCCTGGAAGGCAGTGATTTTGTTTCTGCTGAATGTTGTGAATAGCACCTCCCTAGATTCCAGCTTCTGGACAGACTCAGCTCAGAGCCACCCCCACACCACTATTTCTTGTATCTTTTCACCATTATTGGCACCTCACCCTCCTCTCTGAGACAGATCTCCAGGTACCCACAGGCTACCCAGATCTCTCTCCTGGGCTTGGATATACCTGATTTCCTGACTGTCGCCACTGTCCCCTGGTCCTGTGGCCCATCCTCTTGATTCACCGAGTGGTGCAGTTTTGTACTGGCGGGGGACACACACCAGCAATTTCTGTCAGGGTGTGGGAGAATCTGTCGGTCAAGAGGTGCTTTTGGTTCCATTGAGGTTACATGAGTACCAACAGACACATAAACCTGGAAACCAAATGGGGAAATAAAAAGGAAGGCATGGGGCACAAGAAGACAGGAAAGAAAACAGGATTTGAACATTTAACTTGAGGCTAGCACACTACATGGCAATATCCTATTTCTGTGATTCCTTTTGATAACCCTGTGAAGTAGACACTCTCATTTTTACAAACAGGGATTATGAAGCTTAGAGAAATGAGATGACTTCCCCCAACATCACACTGCTGGACAGCTCCTGGGACTCGAGTAGGTGGATTTTCCCAGGACATATGGCTTCACTCATTCCTCTGGGAGTGGCAGGCGAGGCTTGGCAGATGAGACAACAAAGCAAAGCTCGTGTAAAAAAGGCCGAGATGTGCTCCCTCAGTCCAGAATAATAGACCTGTGTCCTCGCCTTGGGAAATGGGCCTCCACTTCCCCACTGCCACAGAGCACACTGGCACCTCCCAAGGGAGCTGGGGAGCTGGTGAAGAATGAGTGCCAGGAACTCAGCCACTACCAGAGCTGCAGGGAGAGCACAGCTGGGTCTGCTGTGCTTGTTGCTGAGCTGGCTGTCATGTCCAGGCTGTCCTCTGCCCCAAGGCCTGTGTGTACATCTATTGGTGTGCACATGTTTGCATGAAGGAGTTCAACCCTTATTAAAATATGCTCAGAAGGGGGCATTTGGCTCTTAATGTATCATCAACTTATCCTGGAATCTTGGGGCTGCTGACACTCCAGGACTCTCCAGGCACTGAACCATGAGGCCCTCCTGGTAGCACAGCTTCTTTTGCCATCTACTTTTAAATAGGAATTTTCTAATATATTCTGTGCATGGGTTTGTGTTTTCCTCTTGTGCTGTGCGTGTGCTGTCCAAGTGGTACTGTAATAAAAAATAAATGACTCCCAAGAGGAATCTCTTAGGAAATTATAGTCCTGGGCTGGCTGGGAGGGGTTGAACCACCTAAAGAAGGGGAACGACAGAAGCCATCAGAGCTATTGCCGGGCTACCCTGAGTTCCAGGGTACTTTCTACCAAACTTCCATTTGAACAGATTCTTCTGTGCTCTCCCTAGGAAACCTCTTATCCCAGAAATACTCCCTCAGTGGACAGGGGAAACCCCAGAGACCCTGGACTCTTCCTGTCCCTGGGGGTCCTGTGGCTGGGCTCCCCCTCCTTCAGCTCCCTTTCTCCCAGCATGCAACCCACCATTCATTAATGTGGACTCTAAATCTGGCAATCCTTCTAGCCTAACTTTGTCTGCTTCTAGACCCTTAGTCCCACCATCCCAGCCCTTCTACGTCTCCATCCTTCTGTTTAGAATTTTTTTCCCCACTTTGTGCACTCTGTGAATTATTCAGCTTTCAAGGCTCAGGTGGAGCATATAATCTCTCTTCAGCTTTTCCCAATCATCCCCAAAGAAAGTTGATTGATCCCCTAGTTAAATAAGGAAGAATAGGCTGGACGTGGTGGCTCATGCCTATAATCCCAGCACTTTGGGAGGCCAAGGCAGGTAAATCACGAGGTCAGGAGTTTGGCCAACAAATTCAGCCTGGCCAACATGGTGAAAACCCATCTCTACTAAAAATACAAAAATTAGCCAGGTGTGATGGCACATGTCTGTAATCCCAACTTCTTGGGAGTCTGAGGCAAGAGAATCGCTTGAACCTGGGAGGCAGAGGTTGCAGTGAGCCGAGATCATGCCACTGCACTCCAGCCTTGCTGTCAGAGCAAGACTCTGTCTCGAAAAGAAACTAAATAAATAAGGAAAGATATCTTAGGGTCTGTATTTTGGACTCAGCAGTACAGAGGCTTCTGTTACCCATTTGACCTAGAATGACTTGGTAACCCTTGCCAGACCTGATTGAAAAGGTGGAGAATCTACCCTGCATTTTTCTTATTTATCATTTGTTCAAAAGCAATGTGTGAACGCCATAACTGCACTCAACAAAATGTTGTCTCCAAATGTATCGTTTACTCTGTGCATCACCCCTACCCTTCACCACCTCCTTTCCTAAATCTTTTACCCGGGATCAGCTAATCCAATGATGACATTCTTAAATGGCTGAACGTGCCATGACTTTTGGCATGCTCTTGGTTGTTCTGCTCTTGAAGAAAGGGCAGTAAATTGTGCAAAGGAATCCTGGAGAAGTAAACATTGCCTCTGTTGCTGTCATCTGGACTGGACATCTGTTGGTCCCAAGGCATAGCATGGAACCAGGCCTGATTCTGACTCCAGCATATGTCTTCTGCTGATTGAAAATCTTGGAATCGGAGGTCTCCATCCTGATCCCAATATCTTTTTCCTGTCCTGGCCTACCCCGAACCCTCTTAAAGGATCAACTTGGCCTTCCTAGAGTTCGTAGAGGAGAAAAAAAGCTTCTGGCCAGGCAAGGTGGCTCATGCCTGTAATCCCAGCACTTTGGGAGGCTGAGGTGGGCAGATCATGAAGTCAGGAGTTCAAGACCAGCCTGGCAAACATAGTGAAACCCTGTCTCTACTAAAAATCCAAACAAAAAAAAAATTAGCCAGGCATGGTGGCGGACACCTTTAGTCCCAGCTACTTGGGAGGTTGAGGCAGTAGAATCACTTGAACCTGGGAGGCAGAGGTTGCATTAAGCCAAGATCACACCACTGTACTCCAGCCTGGGCAACGCAGTGAGACTGTCTTAAAAAAAAAAAAAAAAAGCATCAGATATAGGAGGCCTGTTTTTAAAGAATAATATCACTTTGAAAGAGGAAAAGAGAAAAGTCAATGCAAGTTCTATAAATCTATGTTTATCACATTTTCTTTATATGTGTCTCCTCCACAGATTCCAAGTTCCTGAAAGCATTGAGCATGTCTTCTTCATCTTTGTTCTCCTGTAGAGTAGCCATTAGAGATCTTTGCACAATGGGTGAATTTCTGGGTAGATAAATGGGTGAAACAAAGGTAGGCAAAGCTTCTGTTTTGGGGCCAGAGCAGAGGAGTAGGAGGAGAAACGGGCATCTGGTTCCACTGCCTTCCAGTGAGTTAAGAGCATGAAACTATGTCACTTACAGACCCAGGAGTAACTGAAATCTGAAAATGACAGTACTTTAAGTTTGTTGGGGAGTGAGGTAACAGGGCAATGAAGTTTATGGAAGAGAAGCACGAAGTTCTTGATAAAGTTCTGGTCTTAAAGACGCTTTCTTTTGCAGGCTTCTTAATGGGTAACAAGCAGTATTAGCAGGAGAACAATCTGTTTCTATCACCATCACCTTCCTGAGTATCCTTTCTCAGAACTCCAAACAAAACAGTTTCTCTATTCCCTCTGGCTGCTGCACTTTTCCCAGTAACAGGATCTGGGCTCTGTTAAGTGGGGGTGGTGTGGGGGGAGGTGCATTCATTCATTCATTCATTCATTTTGAGACTGAGTCTCGCTCTGTTGCCCAGGCTGGAGTGCAGTGGCATAATCTCGGTTCACTGCAACCTCCACCTCCTGGACACAAGTGATTTTCCTGCCTCAGCCTCCCAAATAGCTGGGATTATAGGCTCCTGCCACCACACCCAGCTAATTTTTTAGATTTTCATTAAATAGGGGTTTCATCATGTTGGCCAAGCTGATCTTGAACTCTTGACCTTGTGATCTGCCCGCCTTACCCTCCCAAGAGGGAGGGTTTAATACAGGCCATGGTGTTTAGGAGGCTGAAAGCAGGAGAGAGCTTACCACTTTGCCCTCAGAGTGCTCTTCCTCATCCCTGGCACTCCGTCTGATGTCTTGCTCCTTGAAATATTCTCGATCTTAGCATTCCCCAGTGAAACCACATTTGAATAAGAGAACATCTTGAGATGTTTTGTTCACCACTTAGGTCACAAGGAGGCAGGAAATGCCAATGTCACAAATCAAAATAACCTGTTGTGAACTTGACCAGGTCTGTATCAAGGTTTCTCAAGACGCATTAGGCTCAGAGAATAGGTGCCTGGTAGACGCCCTGGACAGGTCTGTGGGTGACTAAAAGCAAAAGGCTAAGAGGGAAAAAGGGAATGTAAACAAGAAGTTCAGGCAGGGTACCATGGCTTACTCCTGTAATCCCAGTGCTTTCAGAGGCCATGGTGGGAGGACTGCTTGAGCCCAGGAGTTGAAGACTAGCCTGGGTAACATAGTAAGAAGCTATCTCTACGAAAAATAAAAAATACCTGTGTGTGGTGGCTCATGCCTGTGGTCCCAGCTACTCAGGAGGCTGAGGCAGAAGAATCACTTGAGCCTGGGAGGTTGAGACTGCAGTGAGTCATGATTGTGCAACTGCACTCCAGCCTGGGTGACCCAGTGAGACTTCAACTCAACAAGAAGAAGAAAGAAGAAAGAAGGAGGAGGAGGAGAGGAAGAAGAAGAAGAGGAGGAGGAAGAAGGAGGGAAGGAGGAGGGAAGGGGGAGGAGAAAGAAGTCCAAACAATAGAGAGAGAGAAGAGAGATGTAGTGAAGAGGGAAGCCAAAGAACAAAAGGCATTCTATGTGGACAGTCTGTGGCAATTGCCTCTCATGTAAGTAAATGTACTGATTCCAGTTCTAAGTTGAGAGGTGAGGCTTGCTTCTGAGGATAATGGCAGAGATATCCTTGCAGAGTCCTTTCTTTAGAGCATGTGTGACTGTCCGTTTCTCCACTTTTTCCATTAGACTGTGAACTCTTTGAGCTTAGAACTTGTAATTATCTTGGAATCCAGCACCTAGCACTGTGCCTGGCACATGATCGGTGCCCAGCAAATGCTTATCAGAAAAATCAATTGGCCAGGCATGGTGGTGCATGCCTGTAATCCCAGCACTTTGGGAGGCCAAGGTGGATGGATCACAAGGTCAGGGTCAGGAGTTCAAGACCAGCCTGGTCAAGATGGTGAAACCCCATCTCGACAAAAAATACAAAAATTAGCTGGGCATGGTGGTGCGTGCCTGTAATCCCAGCTACTTGGGAGGCTGAGGCAGAGAATCGCTTGAACCTGGGAGTTGGAGGTTGCAGTGAGCCAAGATTGCACCATTGCACTCCAGCCTGGAGAAAAGACTCTGTCTCAAAAAAAAAAAAAAAAAAGAAAGAAAAAAATCAGTTAAGGAAGGAAGAATGGCCTCACCAGAACTGTCTTAAGGGGTGTCCCAGTGAGGCACAGTTCATAAAAGTTCAAGTGGGAAGTTGGGCTTAAATATCTCTTAAGCTTATGTGATGGATGGCAGAGTTGCTGCTTCATCTAAATTTAAATCCCTGGTGATAACATCTGAACCCTTTGTGGAAAAAAGGCATTTTAGATGGGCATTTTTATACAATAATTTTCTATCCCCACTGAGATGCCTGGACTTTAAGTCACCTGCATGACTATGTTGCTTTCAGTAAGTTCAGAACCTCTTTGTGGCTCAGTTTCCCCAACTACAGCCAGGAATAACAACACCTGCCTCATGAGGTTGTTATGAGGACTAAATGAATATTTTTTAAATGGTTTGAACTGTGCCTGGCACATAGCAAGCTTCATATGTTTGTTGAATAAAAATAAGTAGGAAAAAAAAGTCTTAGGAAAACACAGATTTATATGCAGAAATCCTCTTTGTTTTCTTGCATTACACCAGAATTTCTCATTTTTGTCTTCAATTTGTTCCTGAGGGAAGAGATCTAGAAAAGCAAGGGTGGCCTTTTGGCTCAGCCCACTTTTGGGGCGATAGAATTTTCTGCCTGAACC